AGGCATAGGGTGTCCAGCACTGTAGCTTGCTGGTCGTTGAGTGAAGCTGGGTCTTGGTGTTGAGATGGAGATCTCTGGGAGATTTTTGCCGTTTGATATTAAGTGGAGCTGGCATACAGAGTGAAGTAAGTCAGAAAGAGAAAAACAAATACCGTATGCTAACACATATATATGGAATCTAAGGGGAAAAAAAAAGGTCATGAAGAACCTAGGGGTAAGACGGGAATAAAGACACAGACCTACTAGAGAATGGACTTGAGGATATGGGGAGGGGGAAGGGTAAGCAGTGACAAAGTGAGAGAGTGGCATGGACATATATACACTACCAAATGTAAAATAGCTAGCTAGTGGGAAGCAGCCACATAGCACAGGGAGATCAGCTCGGTGGTTTGTGACCGCCTAGAGGGGTGGGATAGGGAGGGTGGGAGGGAGGGAGTCGCAAGAGGGAAGAGATATGGAACCATATGTATATGTATAACTGATTCACTTTGTTATAAAGCAGAAACTAACACACCATTGTAAAGCAATTATACTCCAATAAAGATGTTAAAAAAAAAAAAGGAAAGCTGCTTTGTCTGACCTGAAAGAAACCTTTGTTTCCTGTAGGCAAAGACCTCAGCTAGGGCTGAGATTTGTGAAAATGAAACCCAGGATCTCATCCTGTCATTGTCTGAATTATGATGCAAATTGATTTCCCAATCTTCTGCCAAAGTGTGAGCATTTATTGGGAAGTAATGGGAACCAGAAATTGGAATGGGGACATACGGGAAGATCCCAGTGAAGCCGGAGACATCAAACCCCTAAATTCAGCTGAGTCTTCTTTGCCAATTGCTGAATATATGTATTCCAATTATGCATTCCAGAACCAGAAAACTAACCTTAGAGTAGGTTTGGGTATATAGCACCCGCTAGGTGGCAATAACTTTCATGTCTGAGGTAAGGTTATCCAGGAGGTTGTATATGTTATAAATTAATGCCCAGTATATGGTGCTGTTTCTTTTTTTTATTGACTTACAGTTGATTTGCAATATTGTGTTAGTTTCAGATGTACAGCAAAGTGATTCAGATATATGCCTATATATAATCTTTCTCAGATTCTTTTCCGTTATAGGTTACTACAAGATACTGAACATAGTTCCCTGTGCTATACAGTAAATTCTTGTTGTTTACCAGTTTTATATATAGTAGTGTGTATCTGTTAATCCCATGCTCCTAATTTATTCCACCCCCGCCTTCTCCTTGGTAACCATAAATTTGTTTCTATGTCTGTGAGTCTGTTTCTGTTTTGTAAATAACTTCATTTGTATTATATTTTTAGATTCCACATATAAGTGATGTCATATAATGTTTACTTTCTCTGTCTGACTTACTTCACTTAGTATGATAATCTCTAGGTCCATCCATGTTGCTGCCAATGGCATTCTTTCATTCTTTTTTATGGCTGAGTAGTATTCCATTGTATGTATACCACATCTCTATCCATTCATGTGTTGATGGACATAGGTTGCTTCCATGTCTTGGCTATTGTAAACAGTGCTGCTATAAACATGGTGCTGTTTCTTCCACTGCCAAGATTCACACGTCCAGGAATCAAGGGATGGCAGTATGAGTGGCACCACTCATTATTATTATAACGCCAAGTGATCCTATTAGCAAAATGTATGCTTCTTGTCCCTGCAACTTTATGCTCTGTTAGCCTAGAGCTCCCTTAGTCCCAAAGGGAGGCAGGCTTCCGCCCGGAAACACAACAATGATGACACTGAACTGAAAGTGAAGGCTGCCACCTGGCCACTTTCGCCTCCTCGTGCCTCCTCATCTTACAGAAACTCAAAGGCAGTTTCTGTACCGGAATAATCCTGAATACTGAAGTGAAATTGGTAGGTTCCTTACCAATGAAGGTCAGGAGGAATATGTCCAGAATAGAGGAGATACTTTGGGTGACTCTTAGAACTACCATGCCCAGTCATTAAAATAAATGGAAAAATGCCACAGCGCAGTTCAGGCAGGCTAGTAATGGCCCAGATCCTTCAAGAATGAAGTTTTGAATCATCTCACCAGGCAAAGAACCATGTCCAGATGAGGTGCTTTCTGAGGGCAAAGAGAACATAGAGTGGGTGATGGGAGAAGGTAGTTATCATAGCTAGTTATGACCATGTGATCAGTTGCAGAAACAAGGACAGTAATTATTGTATTTCTTCCTTATTTTGTTATGAATATGACTGTGTGTGCATGTTTGTGTGTATCAGATTTTTTTCTTCCTTCTCTCATTCCCTTCACATACAACATAAGGTATATTAATAATAGTTAACTTAACCTCACAGCATTAAAATTCCAGGATATCAGGGAGAAGAGTGACCACCATCCAATGACTTTCTGTTGTCTTGAGGCGCAAGCGTTAGAGTCTTTCAATTATACGTCAGATACTTGGCAGAGTATGACTTTATAAAGTCTTTATTTGCAGATTAAGTATCGTTTAAGGGGATCTGTAGGGATGCCAAGTTGAAGGGGTAGACCGTAATGTTTAGTTCTTTGTGTAAACTTGGATAAGCTGTAGATGCAGTTAATCAATTAAACCGAAGTCTAGCTGTTGCTCTGAAGATTTTGTAGATATGGTTAACATCTACAATCCACTGAATTTAAGAAAAGATTTCCTTGATAATCTGGGAGGGCCTAATCCACTCACTGAAAAGCATTGCAAAGTTCTAGAAGCTGGGAATGCAAGAAAAGAGATTCTCCCTTAGAGCTTCTGCAACACCTTTGTTGTGGCCCAGTTAAATCAATTTCAGATTTGTGATCTCCTAAACTGTAAGAGTAAAATTTTGTGTTGTTGTACATCACTAAATTCCTGGTAATTTTTTGTAGTGGGAAGAGGAAACTAATACAGAACAGACAAGCAGGCAGAAAGGAAAAAGGCAGGGAGAGGGCAGACAGGCTGGAGTAGGGCAGGTGATGAGGAGCTTGGCAGACAGAGATACAGGTGGGTAGGAGAAAGGTAACAGAAAAAGAAGTAGGAAGCCTGAGAAAGGGTGAGAGAGTCTGATGGGCAGGAGGCAGGAGATGAGGTAGGCTGGCAGGTGGGCAGACAGAAGCAGGAAGTGGGCACAGAGGCAAGGATGGGAGAGAGTGACAGCAAGGCAGGATGGCAGGCAGGGGCCCTCAGAGCTCGTCCTTGTCTCCAGCAATCATTACAAGAGCTTCCTGAGCTGCAAGTGGATCCCATTCTGGGGCTTCAACACAACTCTTGGAATGGGAACAGGGACCCTGGAGGGATCCAGTGCCAGCTCAAAACGAAGCAAGGTCAGGGCCACGGCCACCTTCATCTCATTCATGGCAAACTGCTTCCCGATGCAGTTCCTGGGTCAGGGAGGGAAAAGGAAGTGAGCAGAGGCTTCTAACCTCTGCCGGGCACAGGGCATTCAGGGCTCTCCTCCACGTGGCCCAGCCCCGATCCGTTCCTTACGGGTCACACTGAACGTGCCGCCCAAGCCTCGGTCCACCCTCTCCCCCTGACCTTTCCAAAGGCCACCTCTCTCCAGGACTAGCTCCTAACTCCTACTTCTGTTCTCAGCAGTAGCAAGTCCTGTTGGGGAGCGTCGGCGCTCTAAGCCACAGGGTCAAGTCACGTGAATCAGTAAATGTGAATTAGTACTTTGTTCACTCGTCCACAGGCAGCTTCTGGTTTCAGGCCAGGCCAGGGCACTGTAGGGGAGTGTGGGCAACTCTCGGGCCCTCACCACCCATGGCAGACATGCAGGGGCCCCAGTCCCCAGACAGGACAGGACAGAGTTGTGTCAGGAAGTCAGGATGGCAACTGGGAGGCTTCTTGGAGGGGCCACGGGTTAGCGCCCCTCGACCTGCTGGACCACTTGCCTCCCAGTTAATGCTCCGGCCTCCTGTCTCCCTGCAGCCCCTCAGTCAACCCGTCCCTGGAGCCTTCCCATTCTAGTCCAGCAAGGCCCCTCCTCCCATCCCGTGGGCTCCTCACTGGCCTTTCCAGTCTCCTTGCCTCTCCTCCCTCTACTGCAGCCACAGCGGAGCGGGGCCTGCTGCGCCCTCCATCACAGGGAGACAGAGAGGACACGTCGCGGGGCCTCAGCTGGCGTCACAGCGCTCTCTGGGCTGCTCCTCACTCACCTCGCACCTGTCCAGCCCCTCTTCCTCGCTCCGCTCCTGTTGAGGTCCCCTCCCCCCACTGCCGGCTACACCTCTTCCTCCCTGGACCCCCAAGACACCATTAGTGTTAACTCAAGGACACATCTCAGTCCAGTGACCAGGACAGTGCCAGAAACATGGACCATTTAACAACCTGCTCAATGAATGAATGAGTGAGTGAAAGAAAGAAGGAATGACGTCTGTCTTGAGTAGAGGTATTTGTTATTTTGTTTTTTGTTTTTTTGGCCGTGCCATGAGGCTTGCGGGATTTTAGTTCCCCGACCAGGGATTGAACCCGGGCCACGGCAGTGAAAGCACAGAGTCCTAACCCCTGGACCGCCAGGGAATTGCCAAGGTATTTGTTTCTTGACTGTGAACTCTAGGAGGCAGGGACAGTGTCTTTCATCTCTGCCTTCCCATCTCCTAGCACAGGACTTGGCACACAGAGACAGCTTAATAAATAGTTTTATATTTAAATAAAGTTAATTGAATTGAAAAATAAAACCAGAATGGAATAAAAGTAAATATTAATTCTGACCTAGGAATTGAGCTGCCTAGTACATACCCCCGTCCTCTAGTGGCAGCCTCATGATGTGCCGCCAATATCTACAAGAAAGAACAGGACCCGGGCAGAAACCGAAACCTACAGCGTATTCTGGAAGCATGTTTGCGTCAAGCCTGTTCTGTGAAGGTTGATTCACCAAGTGAAAATTTCACAGAATTAGAGATTCAGAAAAAAAACTCGTTTCTACTAAGTAATTACAAAGTTTATGGAATTTGTAATGGAGTTACAATATGGAGTATTCTGGTCCAGCTCAACAGCTATTTCAAGTATGCTCTATATTTTACATGCCAGAAACCTTTCAAATGTATGCATCATATACAAATTAGTAGATTCTTCTCTCAAAGGCACTTGATTGTCTCAATTCTATACTTTTGCCTGCTTGGACTATTGGACTCAATGTATAATATCATGGAAAAAGACCTCAGATCACAGGAAAAGTTTTGACAACTGGGGAAATTGTCATGTGTATCAGACATTAATATGTTGTCAAAACATCTTTTGGATAGACCCCAAGTACAAAGTGACACACATTGATAACAAACTTTCTTAAAACGCTGCTATAACTTTTCCAGTATATGGCTTCAACAGTTTCATGCAGGGCGTCTGAAAATGGAAGCATATGTAAACTACTCATGATGCAACAGGATGCATAATGGGGAAGTAAATAGAAAATGTGGGACTGAGAAGGTGTAGAATAAAAAATCTACCCTTTAAAATTATGACAATGGAAACGGAGGACAGTTGAAATTTAACACACAGTGAATGATTTTAATTAGGTAGAGTCATCATCTCAGTGAGGAAAAACACTACAATACACTAAACTTGGAACAGCCATCGACACTGAAATGTGGCCAGCCATTGAGAAAGAGCTGTGGGTTAGTCTGTGGCCTGCCCTAAAGGCCACTTGTATGTTGAACATACAGAAACATGCTTCCATCCCAGTACACCAACATAAAAGCCATAACTGCATACGCCACATATGAATGTAGGAGGTCACAGACATGGGGTAGCACCCAGGGACACCCAGCTGCACCAAGTACAGAAAGTCTCACCTGGATCCCCCTGAGAAGGGCAGGAAAGCACGGCTGTGTTGAGTAGAACCTGGTGCAAACCGGGATGGGCCAAACACCTGCAGAGAGAGCTCCAGGGCCAGGGCAGCTGGGGTCAAACTCCTTCGCCAATCCACCAGGGGACAAGAATCCCTGAGGGGGAGCAGGGGAGGTGCTGGTCTGGAGAGAGCATCCCATCCCCTCCTCCCATGGCCATAATACCTCTGGTTTCGGCCACACCTTCGGGCTGTGGTGAAGCCCATAAAAGGAGAGGGAGAGTGGGATACCTGTGGGGCAAGGAAGAGAGAGAGAAGACTGATGGTACCCATGGCAGCAGGGGCAATGTGCCAGCACAAAAGGCCTGGAGCCTCCATTAGAGCCACCATGATGCTGTTGTAAAACAGGTGGGCTGGAGGTGACAAAGCACAACAGCACGGATTAGGAGTAGGTAACCGTGCCCAGGACTGAAAAGGAAAAGATTTGGAAGCTTACATTTAGGAGCAACGTGGTGACACATGTATCTCCCTGCACCTCACCTGACACCCTGACGTCTCGGTTCCCAACCCCTGCACCAGGGAAGTACCCAGTGTGGGTGTGTGCCAGCCCCTGAAGAGGAAGCAGGAGTCTGGGCTCTGCCTGAGGGGTCAAGGTCAGGCCCTTTTACATGTGCATGATGGGGGTGGGTGGGCGGGAGCTGCCCAGAGGGATCAGAAGAACCTGTGTGTTGATGGGTGAGCTGACAGGCGCGGTGGCTCCAGCGGCCTTCAGGGGTCAGCCTGTAGATGATGTCGTTCTGGTGGGAGAGATTCCTCACTTGGGAAAAAATCAGATTGTTGAGATTCCCTGATGGCCTGGATGTTGGACTGGATGTTCCTGAAGGGAGAGGATGCAGAGGAGACTGGAGTAGAGGGAGCATCTGACCTGGAGACAGAGTGGGGCTCCCGGTGGGGATTCCTCAGTCAGCGGGGACAGGCAGCACTGAGGCTTTGTCATTTCTGCCTCACAGCCCTGGAGACCCTCAGTCCTTTACAAGTGGCCTGAGCAGCCAGGCTTCTCCCTGTGCAGGAATCAGGGACCTGTGACTGAGTCAAGGTTGGTCTGGGTGGAATTTGACTGTGGTCCATGGCTCTGTGCAGAATGTTGCTTTCTGTGCTGATAAGCATCCACACTGCCCTAACTGCCTCTCAGGTAAGTCCTCCCCAGCTGGTGAGAACAAGGACCCTGCCCTGCCGTTGAAAGGTTGTCACTGACCTGTCTGTCTGGATGCTGCCCTGGTGGCTGAAGGCGCACTTCATGATGGTGTCCAGGGTCATCAAGGAGACGTGTCCAAGGACCTCCAGATGTGAGTCCGGGCTGACGAGCTCCTCCCACTGTCCTGTAGTGGGAGGGGGACATTGACCCTGCTCTGCTCTCCCAGAAGGCCTGCGCTGACAAGGCCAGGCTCTCTCTCCGTCTCTCTAAATCTTCGGATGAGTTTTCCTCACTTTCTAAGCAGATGTGTTTTAGCAATTTAAGGCTGTAACACACATGTGTAATGTGATGCCTATATCTCAGAAACTTCTATAACTTTTACATTTCTGGCCTTTTGGAAGGCCAGAAAGCATAGTTTCTCAGCAGACAAGGGGGAATCTTTTGTATCCTGAGATCAGACCTGGATAGGCGATGGCCAACAGTGGTAAGCAAATTTGTCGAGGTAAGAGATAGCATAAGATTCCAATACTAGGGTCCCTACGAAAGGGACATCAGACATCAATCCTTTCATTCATTAAATGTTAGCTGAGACCAGTTGGTGAGAAATCAAAATCCTGCAGGCCAGCTCTGTGAATGTATGATAGACCTGCCCCCATTTCCTCCCATGAGGAGCTCAATTCCATGCAGAAACCCTGGGCCCCAGGCCAGAGCCCACCTGAGTGATATCCTGGGATGTCCACTATTCCCCCGAAGGTGTCATTGCCCAGGCCAGCCAGGGGCAGCTTGCCCTGCTGTCAAGGGGAATGACCCTTGGTCTAGTCCACTGCGTTGAAGACATGGAGTTGGGAGGAGAGTGGATCCTGAATATACCATGGCCCGCCTTTCCCTTATCCATGACTAAAGTGCGGATCCAAGGTGGTGCCTGGGTCCCATCCGTTCTTGGAGAGCCCTGTCTCCTAGTAAGTTCTGAATGCATCGTTCTGAGGGCTGTGTCTGATGGACGTCTGAGGGACACAAGCGTCTGAAAGTGGACTTTGTCAGCTGTGCTGGATGAGGGTGGGTCCAGGTGACGAGGGATAGACTCACCAGCACCACTGGGACAGAGTCGGCCATGAGACCCACGTAGGGCTTCAGGATGTCATAGTGGAAGGCTGGGGTCAGCATCCGCCGGTGCTGGAACCACGTCTGCCCCTCCAACACGAGCAAACCATTCCCTGGGCCACAGATGGGTGTGTGTGTGGGTCGGAGAGACTGGATCAGAGGGACGACTAGAGACAACTTGGGAGGAACCAAGGGTGTCAGGAGAGAGCACACCGTGGGCAAAGGTAGGAAAGGCCAGTACAGTTCAGGAATGTGAATTTCCAAAATGGCTGGTCCATCGGATGTGATTATGACAGCTGTGAGAGACAGAGATTGAAAAAGAGTAGCGGGGGCAGGTGATAGAAGGAATTAGTTAATAGTCAGGCTGAGAATATCGCAGAGGACTGAGAAGTGATGAAGAAGAGGCTGAGCTTCAGGAGGGCTCTCAGCACCTGTACAAAGGGGTGAGGGTTTTATTAGGAGAAGGGAAATGAGGCTTGATTCAGAGATGAGGGTGGTGACAGGGTGGCAGGCACTTGTTGTTCTCTGTGAGTCAGCAAGGCAGCTCTTGGTAAACCTAACTGGGAGTGTACCAGAGTTTACTAGTGTACCAGAGTACTAGTTTTGATATACTTACCAATCCAGGGGGCCAAGAATCTGTAGGTACCTGCAAACTTAGGGTTTGAAAAAGTAAGGAAGCCATTACAGGAAAGCGGACAGGACCAAACAAGGCAGGCAGCCCGCAGAGCAGCTGTGGTCCAGACCATGGGCTGCCAGCCCTTCCTGGTGCTTGTCAGCTGGCAGCCTGTCTCAAGCCACCTCCCACTTGCCTCCCATCCCTGACTCTCTCTGTCCTGATGGTCACTGTGGGCCCAGGAAGGCAGGCTCAGTGTCCCAGCAGCAGAACACCCACGGGGCTAAGAAGGTGAATCGACAAGAAATATAGGCTCTGTTCAGTGCCCTAGATTAAGTCAGAAGCCTGTGGTTTTCCTCCAATTTGTGATGGTTTAGCCATCCAATGACCCAGGATAGGCAAATGCAAGTCAGTGTGCATAAGAAATTGTCTTTCAGATCTGGGGCTATTTACATAAAAATCACCTCAATAGGGTTAAAGAAGAAAGAATGAAAATGTGCAGCCCCACACAGCTGTTTAGCATTCCGTTTAAGTGAACAGTGCTGTTCTTTGACTGGGATGTGGGCTGGTGTTTGGACGGTAGACAGTCAGGTATTGATGACTGAACTGACAATCTCTTCTGGAATTTCACAGACCCAGGGGCATGTACCCAAGAGGGAAAATACGCTCCAGCTGGGATCATGTTTTGTACTCACCAGATCTCCCCAGGACCACCTTCATGTAGTCAGGGTCATAGACCACCGGCTGAACCTTGTTTCCCCACAGCCAGTGAGGAGAGACACATGGGAATTTCTCTACCTTTTCAGTACCTCTTGCAGCTCCTGGTCCTTTGGGTACTGTAACAGAGGGAAAGACACATCAGTAAAATGTTCTCTTTAGGGCCAGTGCTTGGAGGGGTGCTGGAGGTTAGGACAGCAACCAGGAGATAGTTCTGGATCCATCAGCAGCAATTTAGGAGTTTGGAACTGTTTCTGATGAGCTGGGCTCTGATCTGGCTTCTTGCTCTCTTGCAGAGACTTGGCCTAAGACCCTGCTCTGGCTTCCGGATGGACCACTTATGGGCCTTCATCCAGAACTGCCTTTAGAATCTTACTGGTGTTTCACAGACTTATATTAGAGTTGTTTGTTCAGTTGTGTCCCCTCAAATCAAGTTTAAGTGAGGTCATTAGGGTAGGCCCAAATCCAATGTGACTGGTGCCTTTATAAAAGAGGGAAAATGTGGGCACAGAGACAGACACTCAGAGAGAGAAGACGAAATAAAGAGATATATGGAGCTTGTGATTCACCAGCCAAGGAGAGAGGCCGGGAAGAGATGCTTCCTGCACAGCCTGCAGAAGGAACGAGCCCCACCAACACCTTGATTTTGGGCTCTAGTCTCTAGAACTCTGAGACACTAAATTGTGTTGTTTTAGCCATCCAGTTTGTGGAACTTTGTGTCAGGCCTTACACACTATTACAAGTACGTAATGCTCAAGACAAACATGTATAAGGGAGGGATTATTACTTGATCCTGTCTTACTGAAGAATGAGGCAACCCATATTAAAGGACATGCCCAAGTGAGCTGCATCTAAAGTCAAACCTGCTGACCCCAAGGTGTCCTTCCCCAGGGTTCCCAAGGCTCCCTGGGTGCCTCTATTATCAGGTTTCAACTCAATGTTCTAATTGCGGGGCACCGTGTTGACAGGCTTACCTTTCATACCTGTCATCCCTGTATTCTTAGAGCCAGCACAGAGGATGGTTCATAGGGATTGAGCCCCACTTTTAAAAGAATCAATAATGTTCATGTAGAAGGAATGAGTACATGCAGGAGTGTGAATGAATGAGTCCTGATTAAAATTGCTGTTGCAAGTGACAGAATCAGAGCTAACGGAAGAGCGAGGAAAAGGACAAAAAGAAAGCTGGGTGCCCAGGGGCGTCTCACGGAGCCCAAGGGCAGGGGGCAGCCAGGCTGTGGAAGGGCAGAACCAGGGACTGGAGGGCTGCCAGGACTGTGTCTCCCATTCTTTCTCTCTGTACGTCCATGCATTCATCTCTCAGCAAGTGTTTGTGGAGGCTCCACCTCGTACAGACACTATTCTAGAAGCTGGTGATACAGTTATGAACAAACAGATACAGTCCCTGTCCTCGTGCAGCTGGGTCCAGGCGATGCAGGAGGGAACGTCTACCCTTCTGGGGCTGGCACCTCACCATTCTGCCACCATCATGTCTGAGTGGCACTGCTGAATCCTATTCCAAGAATCTGATTCTAATCTCATAGCCAAGGCGTCCACCTGCTACAATCAACTGTGGCTGGGCGTGAATAGGGTATTCGAAGGCCACCCTTGCAAGGGAAGAGGTCTCAGAACTGACATCCCCAAATGTTTCCACTACAGTGAATGTCAAATACAAGAATAAGTAGATGGGTAGAAGGACTCACTTGTTTACCTGGTAACTCTGTGTTGAGTACTTACTTTGGGTCAATTGCCATCCTAGGAGCTAGAGATCCAGCAGTGAACAACAAGATCCCTGCTATTGTGGAGCTCCTGTTCTAGTGGGGGTGTGGGCGGGGCTGACAATCCTGCCCTGAACTGAGGCGTGTCCTGCTTGAATTCATTCTGGGGGCTGCTCTGTG